TTGCAAGTCAGTAGTGCACCCAGTCCACCAAGTGACCAACCACAAATAAAGCAGTTAAGGGGAAAAAAATCGCGTTGTTACGTGAATTTGCACCGCAATGTAACACGAGCCCCCAAGTTACGGCAAAGCTTGACCATGGGATGACTTGCGTACCTACATGGTCAGTATGGAGCGGAGGGAGAGAGAGGCGGTGGGAGGGAGCGCAGGGGTGAGGAGGAGAAAGAGGGAGGTGGGATGAAACTGCCTCTCCTTCTTCACTTTCGTATTTTCATTAATGATTTTTGCTAAGGTGATGTCTCTTTACATCTAAAGCAGCAGCGATATTGTGTCTCGTCGGTTGGGGTTCACGCTTAACTTAGACGACGTAATATTGGATTGTGAAGGCTTCACAGAAGCAAAGGTATTTTAAGAGGCATTTCACTGTTTGTTCATTCCACAGACTGCTCAAATTGCTTACTTGCCTCTTTATGGCAATCACGCCTCCACGGCGGCATGGTTCACTGTCAAATTCTTCATTGGCGTCTCCTGTCGTGGCAAGGTGTTGAGCGATCTTCCACCTTCATGGCATAACTAGTTTGAAGAGAATCAATTAACATCCATTCATGCAGTGACCTTCTGTGAGGGCGTAACGTTTCTAGACGACATGTTCTGCGTTGCATAGCCCACTCCCATGGGTCTTTCGAATCCCACCCACGAGTCAATATCCACTGTCTCAACACAAAACTGCCTTAGTTCGGCTATTCCAGGATTATTCTGGTTCAAGGCACTCCTCTGCTGTCCTGGTTTCGGATAGTACGTCAGAGTGCGTCAGCATTTGTCAGCTAAGATTCCAACTAACTTATCTTTGACACTCCTTGTAGGGGAGAGGTAAAGTTGTTTCCGGAGGAAAAGGCGGTTGTCAAAATCGCACACAAGTACAAGAAGACACCAACACAGGTGCTTCTGCTCCACAGCATCCAAGGAGGCATCGTTGTTATCGTCAAAAATGTCACTCCGCAGCGAAAATTAACAGTAATACATAGCTTGTCAAACCGATGATTTCAAGTGATCCTGTCGTGTCCTGCCTTCATGACATCTGGCTGTGCCATCAGGAGTGGTTGATTTTGAGGTGACCGACGCTAAATTGGAGAAACTCAACAAGACTGGTTTAAAAAAGCCTCTTTTCGTGTTTGACAAGTGAATTGTGTACTTCTCGTTTTATGCCGAAAAAAAAGTCATCCATGGATAGCCAGAATGGTGCCTTAAATCGTCGCCCATTTTCAACTCGCCGCTTCTCCCTTTGCCACTTTAGCCTTGCAAATCACCCAAAATACTCCATTGCACGGGGAAATCCACTATTTTGCTGTCCCGTTCTCCCATATTGTCACCTTGCTTAGCGCCAACGTATGAGCCAGC